TCATAGTATCAGTATTACCGCCATCACCACCACCACCAACTGCAACAGTCTTTCCTCTTGTTTTCTCTTTACATCCATGGAAAATTACAGAGCGCTGACTCAGCAAATATTTTTTCGCCGACCGAGCAAAACATGTTAGGGATTACGATATTTCGGCAATCCTAACCTACATTCTAAGGCCTTTTGCTTTTTTCCCTTTATCTTGTCTTGTCGATACGCGGATTTTGTTTACCGCCATCATCATCCTCCTTCTCATCATCATCATCATCAGTATTATTACCGTTACCATTATTATTCACATTCGTTTTATTAGGCCCAACAATAAAGAATTCTCCCAAAGCTAATTATTATTATTGTTATAAGACAAGTCAACACATCAGGTATTCTTATGTTGTAGTCTTCCCCGTTTTATTCTGGAAGGAGATGAGGAAAAAACAAGGTAAAAAATATTAAAAAAAAATAAAATGCTCCAAAGAATTATTACTTTCACAACAAGTTTGGATCTTATCCATTTTTAACAGAATTACTTCCTCATTTTTTAAAATGTTCAAGTAATCCGACAATTACAGGAATGACCGTCCTTGCGTATTTTCCTTAATTCTCCTACCTGTTTATAATTCAACATTTTTGTATTGTCTCTGTCGTTTCTACCTATGGTAAACGTAACGTTAATTATAACCCGTTTCTTCATGTGAAAATATTCGTCATATATTGACCGAGGAGTCAGTGCTGCACGAGTTTCGCTTTTCTTCACTTACTGACCATCGAGCTGAGATCAAAGTGTAGGGTCTGTTTTCCAGTTTCCTAATGGTAATAATAGTATCAACCGTTTCCTTATGTGCAAAAATTCGTCATTCGATGACCAAGCAGCCAGTTCTACACGAATGTGTCATTTCTCCACTCACTCGCCATCGAGCTGACATCAAAGTGTACTATCTGTCTTACTGTTCTTTATTGGTAATAGTAATGTTAGCCATTTCTTTACGTGGAATCATTCGGCATTCAAAGGTTAATATAATTGTAATTATAAAAAAAAAAAAAACCTAAAAAACCTCCTTTTCTGCAAATAAATAAAACACGTCTTGCCTTTACTTAAATTGCCCAAGGAATGTTTTTACGTAAGGAACGACGTTTTTAACTAATAAAATAAAAAAGAATAAATGCAGATGGAGGTGCGATTTGCATAAAAGAAACCGTCATAAAATATGTAATCAGTAAAGAAAGTTTCGCACTATTACTCTAGGGAAAAGCATGAACATTTTCTTTCCGCTCTGTCCTATTACTGTCATGCCACGATCATTATGGGAGAAGGTAGCAGATTCACGAACAACAGTCAAACCTCTCTCCTATAAGGATTTTTTTTATAGGCGATAGCAATGGAAAGCTATTACGTCAGAATTCGCCTTCAATAGGGGAGCAATAAGTAGTAATAATAGTTGGAGGAATTATTGACTCTGGTATGCTTAGATGACTGAATTTTCATAAAACTTGCCCAAGTAGTTTACAAATTAATGAAATTACTGTAGTGTGAGTAACAACGGAATTGAAAGAAAAATAGCAACAAAAAAGACATTTAAACATAATGAGGAAAAAAGGCTTGACAAATTTTACACTCACAGGACATATAGAAGGCAAGTGTGACAGAGAAAATCATCGTATTACCTACCTAATGAGCTTGTTTAAATGCTAGGCAAAATAGGGATTGGAAGAGATAGCAAAACGACTATCCTTACTAAATAATACAGAGGAGAGGATGTTGTGGAGAGCCATGATCGACCGCTTCCTGAAGCACATAGAAAAAGTAAAAAATGTTTCCTTCGACATTTGAAGGTGATATTTTTAATCTTACTGGCTGTCTAGCCACCCTCCTCATCAGGAAAGACTGGTGGAGGAATCGGTTTAATCGGCGATAACCAGGCAATACGGCAGGTAGTAATGAGCTACTTCCTATCAGCAGTATTTGTAGAGTGGCTTGAAATAAACACGGATGAAGCTCCTTGTAGGAACAACGGGAGTCAAGCACAATGGCGTAGACTGGGCTAGATATGCAGCCTGTGTTGTGATTACACAGAATCGCTTGGCTTCTAAAACTGAAGACAACGGTCAGGTTTGCTCGTATAGAATCAATGATCACGTATTCGTGCTCAAGTTCAGCCTTAAGGCTGGAGGGCATTAGCTGTGGCTTAACATGGTAAGTGATGGGCTAAGAATGAATGAATACTACTAGGTCTTTCAACCCAGATTTTGGGTGGGAACTGGCCAGTGTTTCAGCTGCGCAGTGACCCTAAGACCACATAAGGTTACTGCTGCTAATGATGATGATGATGATGATATATATACATACATACATACATACATACATACATACATACATACATACATACATACATACATATACAGATAGTAATTAGTAGGAGGATTTGATAATTATATTTTAATTAATTGATCGAGTCTGATAGAAACCTCTACAGAATGCAGGAAGCACTGGACGGCCGTTTCGTCCTACCGGAATATGTGAGCGAGCGGCGCTAAGTTGAGTCTGATTTGGAATCTCTTCGTCACCTAGGCCCATTTGGAACAGTTGGTATGATGTTCGCTTGACAACCCAACTGTCAGGGTTTCAATCCTCGGTAGTGGATGCTGATGAGTCCCAAATATAGTCCCTGCATTGTGTAGAGGTTTCTATCAGACTCGATCAATTAATTAAAATATATATATATATATATATAGTTAGTTGCCGGTAGAACGCATCGCATGCTAGCGATATATAGAAAGGTAAATAATATATCAGAGACACCCAGTAGATCCATTTTCGTAGCGCTGCCTAAGAAGCCAAGTGCAAACGAATTCGATCGCCATCAGCTATCATCCTAATGAGTCACATAACAAAAATCCGAATTCCGATGAATAGAGCACGGAGGAGAATTCGACCCGAAATAGGAAAAGAACAGCATGGTTCTTTTAAAGACATTGGACACAGAAATGCAATATTTATGCTCTTATTATCATAATTCCCACAGTCAAATCGCACTGAAAAACACCATGACCGCAGTCAAGTAATTAACCTCCTACAACCTGAAACATGTTTCAGATTTAAATAACCCCCGTACAATTGATAAGTTGTTTCCAAAGCTCCAATAACGATAGGTAATGTTGTCTTGTGATGACACATTCTACTGATTTCTCTCTCGAAGTTCTTGTATTTACTTAGTTTCTCAAACGTTTTTAAAGATGTGATTCTATCGGTTGGAGTTTGCTGTGATACTATGAACACTCACGTAGAAGGCAGAGAGGACGTTTTATCTCGATCTCAAGTGTTTCTGTTTGATGGACGAGCAGATAGGTCCCTTTTGAAGTTCGATCTTCTAAGCGGCATCCACGTTAGCCGAAGAGGAATGGAAAGTAAAAGGATTTTCGGGGGCAAAGTGGCAAAAAACTGGAAATAGCGTATATCCGGCTACTGGTCTATATTAAGAGTCTGTATTAACAGCCATGCTTAGAATCAGGGAGACTTCTGGTTCGCTCTTGGCTGGAGACTGATGTGTCCGTCGAATTGTACCCTAGCCTTTCAAGTGCCATCCAACTACCTACACGGGGGAATGAGAAGGCGAAAGTAAGAATAAACACCAACAGATAATACGCGAAACGGGGTTCACGTTCTTATTACGTTTGTTTTTCTTCTTCTTACCTTGAGTGCAGCGGTAAGTTTTTCCCAGCATCTGGTGCCCACCAGTGAAGTCGACAATCGGAACGCAATATTGAAAATATCACGACACACTTAGCAACATTTTTTTAAGGGGATACATTTAAATGTTATTAAATAAACCCATAGATTTTTTAAAAAGTACATTCACAAATATAAACTATCAATATTTCTATTTAACTATTTCTGCTGCTTATTTAGTGTGGAACCTGCGTCTGTTGTCTCTTCGCCATTTCTTCAATGTTTCGTCGAGTGTGTGATAAGCAGGCCCTCATTTATTTTTCAGTTGTGCGTATTCTTTCTTGCTTCTTATTTTTGATGCTATTTAGGTTCGAGAAGCCTAATTCGCATAGGTAAGAAGTAGAAAATTGCAATGACACTGATAAAAACTTTTTAGCTAATACGGGTTATTCCTTTTGTGTAGAAATTGAAAAGAATTATCGAAAATAATCATTGGAAAAAAGTTCGATACTTATTCATTTATTCAAATACTAACACTGAACCATTACTACTTCCAATAACACTGAACCATTACTACTTCCAAACACACACACACACACACACACACACACACACACACACATATATATATATATATATATATATATATATATATATATGTGACAATATTCGCGTCGCGCTTAAAAGGATTGTTTCCCACACTTGTGTACCACGGGACGGCCGTTGATAATCATTATGCTAGATTTTTGGCATGTTATTTTTTAATAGCTGTTGGGTGCCTGATTTCATCATACCCAGGAAATCCTACTAGAGTAACCTGATTGGTCGCCGATGACTTGGCCATATTGCATAACATAGTACCTGTAGCGGGACCTGATATAAATGTACACGACATAGTGTGTGGGGGGTATTTCTTTTCTTTATTTACATTTATCGGATCTCGTCTTCATGTTGTATGGGCTGGTCGATTTATTATTGAAATTTTTGTCATCAGTGGTTAAGGCGGGGGTGGTATTTCATCATTTACAGTGGTCGTAATGGAAACGACGAAACACACACACGCATGCGCATAAGCAGCTACAACAACAAAAATAACTGCCGAGTAGTCACAAAAGCAACGAGAACAATGACGACGAAGACGAAGATAATGATGATGATGAAGATTATGATGGCGTTTCTTTGTCTCTTTGTACGAACAAGAATAAGATTTTGCCAAGGAGAAAAACATCAAAAGAAAAAAAAAACTCCCGCAATTGTCCTGATTGTAAATATTATCGCCAATAACATAATGATAACGATGATTGTCGTCGTAATAATGATGATATTAATATATACGTCAGCAATAATAATTACGACCATGAGGTGGAAGGTGGGGGCGGTCAGGTTTTGGAGAGTTTGGGATTGGATGAGAATTTTCTGATGAATGAACGCAAATGGATGTTCCAGTCGAGGTCTGGGTAAGAATATTGGAGAGAAAGTGAATCAGAATAAAAGAGTAGAGAATGGAAGCTAAAGAGAAGTTATGGCGACGATAAACGGGAATGGGAAAAGAAGGGACAAATACAAAAGGAAAATATAAAGAAGAGGAAAGAAGAAGAAGAAGGAAAAGAAGAGAAAAAGTAAAAGGAAATAAAGAAACAGAAAGAAAGAAATAGAAAGAAGAAAAAGAAAAGAAAGGAAAGAAAATAAAAACAAAGAATAGGAAATAAGAAAAGGAAAACAAGTGAAAAAGGAAGAAGGAAATAGAGAAAAAAAAGAATAGGGAAGAAAAAAAAAAGAAAAGACGGCAAAAGGTAAAATAAGGAAATAGAAAGAAAGAGAGAAGAGGAAAGAAAAATAAAAGAAAAAAAGAAATAAATAAGAGGAAAGAAGGAAAATCAAAGACTAAAGGTGAAAAGAAAAACTAGAATATAAACGAAAGTGAAGGGGGCATATTTTAAGAAAAAGATGAGGAAAAGAATAGAAAAAGAAGAACGAAAAATGTGCCTCTTCTCTTTCGTTTATATTTCTTCTTTCCTGTCTTTCGTTCTATTTTTATTTCCTTTTATAATTTCTATTGTTTTTCTTTTCTTTTTGGAATTTTTCACCTTTTTCTATTCTTCTGTCATCATCTATTTGCCATTCTCTCATTCTTCTTTTTTTTCCCTCCATTTCTTTTATTTCCTTCTGATACTTTTTTCCATAACTTTCTTTATTTTTCTATTTTCGTTTCTATTACTTCATTCAATCTATTGCTTTTTATTTTATTTTATTTTTATTTTCCCCCTTTTCTCTTCTTTCTTTACTTTATTTCCTTTTACATTTTCTTTTTCTTCTTTCCTTTTCTTTCTTTTCTTTCTTTCTTTCTTTCTTTCTTTCTTTCTTTCTTTCTTTCTTTCGAGTTCCTTATTTCTTTGCACCTTTCTTTGACTAGAACAGAAAGCAAAGGGATAAAGACAGAGAAAGAGAAAGATGTAAAAACGGAAAGGAAGAAATCAAAAAAGATTTGGGCAGAAAAAATCCCCCCCCCCAAAAAAAAAGTAACCGAAAGAAAGAAAAGGAAAGAATTAAGAGAAAAAAGAAAGGATAAAATAGACAAAAAGAAAAGAAACAGTATAGAAAGAGAAATGGACAGCGAAAGAAAGAAAGAAAGAAAGAAAGAAAGAAAGAAAGAAAGAAAGAAAGATAAATGAGACGAGAAGGATGTATAGATAACAAAAAGAACAAGGAAAGAGAAAAAGAGAAAAAGGGGAAAAAAGAGATAGAAAGAAAAGAATAAATAAGAAAATAAGTAGAAAGTAATCTTTTCCTTCTCTTCCCTTTCTACTTTCTTTCTAGAGATATTCATTTTTCCTTTGATTTTTTCTTCGTCTTTCTTTACCACCTTTTCTTTCTCTTTCCCTTCTCTTCCTTTTTCCTAACTATTTCCATTGATTTTCTCCTCTTCGTTTTTTAGTAAAAAAAAGGCGAAAAGGGAAGAAGAGGAAATCAAAGGAAAGTATGAGGAAGCAAAAATAGAAACGAAGAGAAAGAAAAGAGTAGTAAAAAAAAAAGCGCTAAAAAACGAAGAAAAAATCAAAGGAAAAATGAATACTAAAAAAATCGAAATAGAAAGGAAAAAGAACCAAAAAAAAAAAAAAAGGAATGGGAAAGAAAGGAAAAAGTGGAAACCCAAAGAAAGAAGAAAAGAAAAAGAGAAGAGAAAGAAAAGAATTGGAAATAAAGGAAGAAATGGAAACCAAAAGAAAGAATGATTAGGAAAAAGTAAGAGAAAGAAGAGAATGATAAAGAAAAGAAAGAGAAATCATAAGGAGAAGAAAAGTAACACAGAAGGAAGTGAAAGAAAAGAATAGTAAAAAAAATAAAAATAAAAATCGAGAAAAGAAGAAAAATTCAGATTAAGATGAAAATGTCCGTTCATTTTCGTTATATGTTCTAACATGTTTACAGAAAACAATTCTTCGAAAGAGAGATATGGACAAACGAGGAAAACGTTAAATAATCTGTAAAAAAAAAAAAAATCCACGAAGGAAAAAAACTGAGAAGGCATATAAAGAGAAGATGGCAAAAATATAGAAAAATGACAGGCGAAAAAAACAAACAAACACTTTTGTATCTCCTTTTGAGACTTTAACATAAAAATAAACACAAACAAACGAAAGAGGAAATCGTAGGAAGAATACGGATAGAGAAAAACAACTGTGGAATTCTTATTGAAGAAATTATTTCTCCACTGAAGCGATTGAAAAATTTGACAGAAAAAAATAAATAAATAAAAAAGTATAAAAAAAAAAACGCCAAGAGCTATTGGCCTAGATTTCCTCTTCTTTCTTTGTCGCTTTTCGATATAAAAGTCTCCAAAACAAAAGATGGCGTTTCTTTTGGCACGAGCTTAAGAAGTTACTTCCTTGGATGGGGGAATGGAGGCGTAGCTTATGTCTAACTCGTTCTTGTGACAAAAGAATGCTTGGCTAGGCAACTTCTCTCATTCAAGGTCGTGGAATTGAAGAAATTTTCAGTGAGATTCACCATGAGTTTCTCGTGATAAAAGAACGTGTATTGCAGACTTTATAAACACCTACGATTCAAAACTTTATCTAGAAATTGACAGATTATAAACAAGCATAAAAAAAACGTTTTGATAGAATAAGCTGATCGAGATGTTGACACAAAAGCCAGAAGAAGAGTTTAACTAACCCGGTAAACAGACTCAAAACAACAAAACAAGTGCTACTCAAACGTTTCAGAAACTGGAGGCGCAAGTTGTTTTCGTCGAAGAAAGACAGAAGAAATAATCGAAAATGATAATTGCATTTAAAACAGACGTATTAAAACGATAGGGAAGAATGACAAAAAAACTTGACACTGTCGTAAATTGGTAATATCGAAAAGTAAACAAATTAAGAAAAAAAAGAAAACCAAAAACAGATTCACGAGTAAGAGGTTGGAGGCAAGGTTTGGTCCGGATATACTCACAGGTATTCGCAAAGACAATTTGAACAATTTTTTTTTATAGATGCGTTAATTCATCTGGGTCGGTAGATAGTTATCAATTTGCCCGGTCCTATAACGAAGCCAAATTGGACATACTGATTTTTACCTTAATTTGGTAGAGTCAATTTTTATCAACCCTAGAAGACTAACCATTAATTAAAGTTACACCACTACTAACCATTGGTATATCATACCCGATTTTGAAAATATCAAAAAATTAAATATAAATCTTTATGTGAAATTTTTTACATGCAGGCACTTCAAACTTTGTACTTTGAGTTAACATTAATAGGAACTGAAAAACATATTATATATTTAAGAAAATCAGGTAATGAAAATTGTAATTAAACATAGGAAAATTTCCGCTGGGTACTATATTTCCGCTGGGTACTATATTTCCGCTGGGTACTATATACCCATGGTTAGTGTTCTAGGGTTAAGTCCTTCCAGACATCCCTTTGCAAGCAGAAGGAGTGGATTACAGGCTGAAGTATAATTATCCTTTGCGGTTTATATATTTATTATATAACATCTCATGTCTGGTGTTGTTGATTTTAGTCGTTGTGCTATATTTCTTGTCCTCGATTGAGCTACTATGAGAGAGAAACGAAAAAACCGTTTTGGCTATTTTTCCCGATATTATTGATTTACGGCAATATTAACTTTTTTTTTTAATTATTCTCTCTTCTTGTTTTGTGAATGTGTGGGTGGTGTAATGGATCGTGTCTTGGAATGAGAACTCTGATTACTGAATTCAAACTCCAGTCCTGTTCGTTACATGCACTTATGAGCATGTAACGAACATGGACTGTGGGTAGTAGTAAGGGTCTTGGAGCTGTAAATAATAGAATGTTGTGGGGAGATTTATTCGTAGACGTCCTGAATTGACACGCCCTATAAAAGAACCTGAAATTAAGTCGATTTTGTTCGGCAGCATATCATCACATCCATGGGTTATTTAATGCCAAAATCTAAATACTTTGAACACAATTGTATGGCTTCAACTAAATATATTTCGAACGCAATTGTATGCCTTCAACTACAGATAAAATGTATTGCTGTTCATTTTACTATAAAATGTATTGTTGGTAATTCTACTATATCTACTATAAAATGTATTGTTGGTCATTTTGCTATAAATGTATTGTTGGTAATTCTCCTATATCTACTATAAAATGTATTGTTGGTCATTTTGCTATAAAATGTATTGTTGGTAATTCAACTATATCTACTATAAAATGTATTGTTGGTCATTTTGCTATAAAATGTATTCTTGGTAATTCTACTATATCTACTATAAAATGTATTGTTGGTCATTTTGCTATAAAATGTATTGTTGGTAATTCTACTATATCTACTATAAAATGTATTGTGAGTCATTTTGCTATAAATGTATTGTTGGTAATTCTACTATATCTACTATAAAATGTATTATTGGTCATTTTGCTATAAATGTATTGTTGGTAATTCTACTATATCTACTATAAAATCTATTGTTGGTCATTTTGCTATAAAATGTATTGTTGGTAATTCTACTATATCTACTATAAAATGTATTGTTAGTCATTTTGCTATAAAATCTATAGTTGGTAAATCAACTATATCTACTATAAAATGCATTGTTGGTCATTTTGCTATAAAATGTATTCTTGGTAATTTTATTATATCTACTATAAAATGTATTGTTGGTCATTTTGCTATAAAATGTATTCTTGGTAATTCTACTATATCTACTATAAAATGTATTGTTGGTCATTTTGCTATAAAATGTATTGTTGGTAATTCTACTATATCTACTATAAAATGTATTGTGAGTCATTTTGCTATAAATGTATTGTTGGTAATTCTACTATATCTACTATAAAATGTATTGTTGGTCATTTTGCTATAAAATGTATAGTTGGTAATTCTACTATATCTACTATAAAATGTATTATTGGTCATTTTGCTATAAATCTATTGTTGGTAATTCTACGATATCTACTATAAAATGTATTTTTGGTAATTCTACTATATCTACTATAAAATGTATTATTGGTCATTTTGCTATAAATGTATTGTTGGTAAATCTACGATATCTACTATAAAATGTATTTTTGGTAATTCTACTATATCTACTATAAAATGTATTATTGGTCATTTTGCTATAAATGTATTGTTGGTAATTCTACGATATCTACTATAAAATGTATTGTTGTTAATCCTACTATATCTAATATAAAATGTATTGTTGGTCATTTTACTATAAAATGTATTGTTGGCAATTCTTTTTATATAAAAATATATTGCTAATATTTTTATTAATATATTTTTATACTTTTATAGTTTTTAATTTTAGTCTGTGATGGGTTCACTCTTTACGCATAGTTAGGACCCTAACAGGTGCTACTACCCCGGGTCAAGATGGCCCTGAGAACAACAGCAATTAAGATGTAGTTCCGTAATTCTCAAAAACTCCAATCTCCCGATCAGAGGCCTTGCTATCGGATGTAGCTTATCGTCACCTGAAATTAACCAGTTGAAGTAATTATTAAACGTAACAGTAATTACATTTCGTAAGAATTCATAATTACATAGACTCTAAGAACTTAAATAAATATCGAAGAAGATAGACGGTACGGGTAATATTAACTGTTTCCTTATAAGAAAACATTCGACATTCATTAACTGACCATCTAATGCGACTTGAAATGTTGAAATGTATAAATTCTTTCTGTTAAAAGAATTTTTCAGGAAAATTAATTTCTGAAGTTTAGTTATTGCATTTAGTCTTTCCACCTAAATGAAACCAAAACTGAGTGTATGCCGATTAACATTCGCAACAATCATGAGATCAAAACACTCTCAGATAACATCGTCAAATGTGTCGAAGACTACAACTATCTAGGATCACACATCAAGAACTCTGAGAAAGACTTCAATATTAGAAAAGGCATAGCATGGACTGCTTGTAACAAAATGGATAAGATCTGGAAATCCAATCTTGCTCGTCAATTCAAAATCCAACTTTTCCGCGTACTTATTGAGCCAATCTTACTCTATGGCTCTGAAACTTGGACTCTCTCAGCAAAACAACAGCGTCGTTTAGATGGATGTTATACATGTCTTTTAAGAAGAGTGCTTAATCTCTCATGGCGAAACCACCCAACTCTAGAAATAATATATGGAGACTTGTCGAGAGTATCAACCTTAGTTTGCAAAAGACGTGTCCAGTTCGCCGGTCATTGTGCACGTGCCACAGATGAACTTGTGTCATTATTTGTACTCTGGAGGCACCCATCATCTGTCAATCGATCACGCAAGTTAACCTTTCCAGATAGGATAAAACGTGACACATTGATCCCTAAGGAAGATCTTTTAGGTGCTATTACAGATAGGGAATACTGGAGAGGTGTAGTGAGTTCAATCTCGGCTGAGGCCGCAAGATGATGATGATGATTGATGGGAGTTTCCTTCCTAACCTTTTGTTTGAAGTAGTGTGGAATGTCAACATCTTCATTATGTCATTATTTTTCCTCAAGTCCCACGTGCTATAAGAATTTTTCAGGAAAGCAGATTTCTCAAGCCCAGTAACTGTTATCGATCTTTCCAGTACTAATGGTGGTTTCCTTCCTAACCTTTTGTTTGAAGTAGTGTGGAACGTCAACATTTTGCTTATTTCATTATTTCCCTAGTAAATTCTGCTATCCATTTCAGTTGTTACTGATGCTAAAAGTCCTCAACTGATGTTTCTGTTATTTAGTACAGTCCTTTTATTTCTATAGGGCCAGTCCACAAGTTTCGAAGAAGTTAATCCTCCCTCAGAACGAAAGGTTTCCTTCGCTCAACGCCATTTTAAATCACCGATCTGTGAAAACAGTTGCCTCCAGCTGATAGGTTAGATATGTCTGAACCAGTTTGGCGCCAGTTGATGACATCCACATAAAAGTATCGATCTGAGGAGGCCATTTAAAAATCGTGACGTGTTTTTAGGTCAATGTTTTTGTCTTGCAGCATTTTGCAGTGTCGTGTGAAACTATCCCTAGCAGGTAATTATTCGATGTGAGATTTTCACTG